TACACATCCCAAATAGCARTGGATAGGTTTTTCTCCCCAGTGATGGGAAAATATGCTTTAAATATCCAGACTTAGTAACCAAGGGATTCAATCAATTACTCAGTGTTTCACTAACCAGAGAAGTGCTGCGGTGTGTGAACAGGGTCTGTTCATTAAAAGGCCACTTTGAGGCTGTAAAGTGATTTTTTTTTTTGAGATTTTGACAAAAACTCAGCTCTTAAAAGGGGAAAATTKAGAACTATTGTGCTGCYGACTTGTTTTCCTGTCCTGTCTGCTGTGGTCATGGGGAATGCAAACTAGCAGTGGAGGGTGAATATTGCCTTCATCTCTCCCTCCTCATTCCTGTCCCTCCCGTTGATGTTTTGATGTGCAAAACACTTTTCACTTCAGAAGCTGCTGTGTGGGGTGGTGGAAAGGAAAACAAACTCCTCGTTATTAGTAGCTGTTACCACTTGCTARAGCTGCATTTTCTGCTGTGTCTTCCAGCGCTCCCTCCTCCACAGCAGGAAATGAGGGGGTGCTGGGGAGACTGTGAGGCAGAGAAAAGAGCTTAATTAAACAAACAAATGTGTTCATGGGAGTCTTGGAGGCCCCGAACCACGCAGACAACTTCACTGAGGGACAGAAATTGGAAGTCTGTAGCTCATTCCCAGTTAATTGGAAGTGACATTCCCATCCTTGTGGGCTGGTGGTGGTGTACACTGTGCATTCAGATGCTGAGATTGTCTCATTTTGGGAGTTTTGAGCCTCRTTAAATGTTTGCCCTTTGAAATTGCTGCATTTGCTCCTTTTAGGGAGTTGGTGATGTAGACAGGACCTGGGGCAGGTTGGGTATCAAACATTACCTGTTCAGGATGGGTTTTTGAGCTGTTTATTGAGCTATTGCCTCTACTCTGATGGTGTCACTGTAGTGTGTSATGGTTTGTTTGTCTGGACCTTCAGTGTTCATTATCTTGTCCTCTGCACCCTGGTGTGGCCCCCAAAAGCTGGTTCTCCCTGTGTAGTGCTGGAAGTGTAAATKTCTGCTCCCTGTCCACAATTTGGCCTCTTTGTTCTGTTTTGGCACCCAGCTTGAAGCGTTTGCATCTCCACAGCAATCCTGCAGGCTCTGGTGTCTGTCTGGATTCCCTGTGGTGTCTGTCCTGCAGTTGTTTGGGACACCTGAGCACAGGAGAGCTGAGCTGAGGGGTGTGGGCAGCCCTGGGCTGGAAAGGAGCATCCATGGGGTGATGAAAGCTGTGAACTGCTCATGTGTTTTAATGGACAAGTCAAATATTGACTGTGCTCCTGTGTTAAACTCATGGTTGCAGGCATCTTCCCTGGACTCTGGTGATTCCCCATCCCACCCTTTTCTTTATGGATGATCTTTGTTCAGCCTGGAGTGTTGATTTTCTTCCTTGGCATAAATCATCTTTGATGATTTCTGGGTTGGTGTGTGAGCCCCATGCTGTACATAAATGAATGAGTGATACGAGGAATATCTACAAATGTAGTTATGTTGTATGTAATGTACATAAGGAGAGAATGTATTTTGTTCATTTTTTTCTTAATAAAAATGTATATGCTAGCAAGGGTGTTGATTTAAGAGCTGTTTGTTCTCACATCATTTCAGAGAGCGGAAAAATGCCTGTGAAGGTCTTGTAGTGGTGGAGAAATTGTGAAACCAGTGGTGCATTATGTCTGGCCCTGTTCCCTAAYGTCACTGATGAGCTCAGTCAGTATCCCATAAATCCAGATTGTTCCCAACATTCACAGGAACTTTTACTGGGGAGGAACACTGAGTTTAGAACATAGGCTGCTGCAAAATGCTGATTTCTAATATTTCACTTCAAGTAAATTCCTTTTTTTTTTTTTTTCTTTACATAAGCAGAAACTTAACCTGGAACAAAATGTTTTATTTTGGGCACTTGAAGGCAAACAGAGCTGCTGAACTGCCCACGCTGCTGCTGACCCTCTGCTGCCCTTGGGTGATGCCTCTCCTGCTTTATGGATGTGTGAGGTTTGATTCCCTCCTCCACAGCCTGACCTGAGTGCCAGGAGGGGCTGCAGGCCAGGAGTGAGTTAGGATGAAATGCAGAAATGAGGGTCAAATGCAGAAATGAGGGTGAAATGCAGAAGCCAGGGTGAGCTGCCTTTTCTCTCTGTCAGCCTGAAGGCACTGAGAGCTCAAGTGCTCTGGTTGTGGTGGGGATGCCSTGACATCACCCCAGCTTCCCACCCCTCTGAGCCCTCTGTTTTTTAAATAAAATAGGTTTTYTACCACTCTAATACTTCCTTGTGCCTGGGAGAAATACAAGCTGTTCCACGTCTGGCTACCTTGAAGGTCTGGGTTGTTTTTTTCCAGCTGGTCCCGTGCTTTTCCTGAGCATCTCCAAAGCAGAAAGTTGTGGCCCTGGAGCACAAGCTCTGCCCTGCCCACCCCCTCCTCACTCAGCCAAAGAAACAAATCTTTTACATAAGAATGTTTATTGACAGAAATACATGATGCTTTCAAAATATATTTGTAGGAAAATGCAAGAATAATCTCTTACAATCCAGTTCCTCAGTAAATTCCAGTGTAAATCAGACTCCTGTCCCCGTGAGAGATGCTGCTACACACAGTATGTAAGAACTCTACTACATGTGCAAGGTTCAACAGGTAACCACCTGGGAAATTTGCTTTTCCTTCTCCAGTCCCTCATGGATTATAACTTCTGTGTGTCTTCTGTAGGCAACAGTCACAGTATCAACCTCATCAGCTGGGTCGTGGCACTGTGAGCGGGAGATAAAATGCTCCTAAAAGTATTTACACGTTTCCTCATGAATGTGAAAATAGAAAAGTCTCTTGCAAGGACATCTGAGCTGCTTGCAAAGCTCTCGCCAAAAGGTAAGAGCAAGAATCTCTTTGTACAACGTGTGGGAGATGTTAAAGCTGTTTTGGGGGAGAGAAGAGGAGCACAGGGAAGGGAGGAGGGGCAGGGAGAGAGGAAATGCCTCGGTAAATCTTTTATTTATTATTTTTGGTCTAACAATTATGGCTACAGTCTACGAAGGGAAGGGTTAAGGCCAAAGATGCTCATTGCTGCATTTCCTACCTGATTTTTTTTTTTTCAAAAAAAGAATGTTCTAAACATTAAAAAAAAAAAAAAAAAGTACTGCTTTCCTGTGGAAATAGTTCTTTTAAATAGGGGAAGGAAAATCTACTATAAAATATTAGTGGTTTAAAAATATGGTGTCTGGAAAAATAAATAAATGTACAATTCCTATTCAAATATAAATCACTATAAGCACTTGCTGAGCAGTTAATATCTTCACTGGTCTCTGCTCGGAAAGATTTAAGGTTCCTTGATCTCAAGCCTCTGTAGGGTTCTCTCGGAAAGTCTTTGGACCTGACTCATTAAAGCACTTTGGCATCTCTTTCTGGGAAGGGGGAATCTTTAGGCACATGCCAAAGCCTGACCACCTGGAGATGCCCTGCCAGGGGTGTCCTCGTGGCAGCTCCAGCCCCTGCAGCCACAGCATCACTGCTGCCCCAGTGTTTTCACTGTGKTTATTTTCTGGGAAGGGCAGAAATGTGAGGTCAGGGACCCTCTGCTTACCTCTCAGGGCAGCTGGGAGGCCAAAATCCTCACAAGAGCAATTGTGGATACCGAAGCCAGTTCTCTGAGCCTTGTGGCCACRTTAAAGAGCTGAAGTTGATGCTGCCAGAGCAGGGGCAAAGCTGTGGCACAGAGTTTCTTGGACAAGAGGTGTTTTCCTATTTCGTGTCAGATTTTAATCCCCTACCAGGCTGGCCTTTCGCTTTTTCTTTCTTTTTTTTTCTTTTTTTTTTCTTTTTTTTTTTTAATTTTTTTTTTTTTTTTTTTTGTAATTTTTATTTTATTTGTTATTTCCCCTCCCCTCCAAAATTACTTCCCCATAGTGCAGTGCACAGGTAAGTGAAGTGTGCGGAATACATTGCTAATGAATAGCAGGAATATTTACATACAAAAATATAAATGTTTGAACACTTCAGACTCTGCCCTTCGGTGCAGGAGAGAAGGGGGAAGAGCCACTTGTGTCTTCTGCCAGCGTCTGTCCTGGGGCTGAGCGAACCACCCCGATCCTCTCCTTCCTGAGTACTCCCAACTCCACCAGGGTTTCTCCAAGATTCCCATTGCTTTTCCCCTCATTCAGGGCAGCCATGGGAGCAGATCCCAATCAGGCTGAGTTGGTGGCAGAGCCCAAAGGAATCTCCCCATCGTGCCTTGGTTTATGGCAAGCAGGGGAGAAGGGTCATGTTTGGGCATTGCTCTTATCTGCAGCTCCTCTGGTTTGCAGAGGGCTTGGCACCATCCTCGTGTTGGGAGATTCACCCAAGTGACCTTGTGGTCCTCGTGTGCTGGAGAATGGAGCCTGCTCTGATCCCTGCCTCTGCCAGGGCTGAGCTGCTTCACCAGAGCAAAGGCATGAAACTCTCCCCAACCTTTTCGAGCCATTTGGGAGTTGTGGTGGGGAGTCAGAATCCAGAAATGGCCTCAGTCCARCCATCCTCTTCTTCTCCCCTCTAAAGACTTCAGCACAGGGAGACSTGGATGACAAACCAAGGGCTGCAGGACAAAGCTCAGTCCCAGCTTTGCTGCTGAGCTGGACGTTGTTTTGCAGGTCTCTGATTTTAGTGGCTTGTGAAGAACAGCTTGAGAGCGTGGACTGAGCTTTTAAACCTCSAGGGGAGGAAACACCAACATCTGTACTGATGGAAAACCCTGAATTGCCACCAAGCTCCCTTGGCTCATGTTCTGCTGCTCTTTTACCTCTTCTGCTGCTCACTCAGGAAAATGGGCCCTCAAAAGTCACAAACCATCGTGGTGCACGTGTCCCACAGTCCCATGGAGGATGGATGAGAGCAGTGAGATGCTGCTGTATAGTTCCTGGAAGGCATTCTGTAGGGAAATGCAGCACCAGAGCTGGGCTTCTGCACCACAAAACCCCCCAAATCACTCCTGGACTAGTKCCAGGTATCACTTGGTCTCCARACCCTTCCTAAGAGGRAYGAACTCAAGGAATTCCTCCTTTTCYCATCCCTCCACCTCATCCTTTCAAAACAAGAAGCTGCTGCACCTCTTGGTCTCCAAGTGGGTGCAGGATCTGTTCCACAGCCCTTGGCAGCAGGGCTGAGCATCCCTTGGCACYGCTGCATCCCTCCCATCCTGCTGGGTCCGGATGCATCCGTTTGCCTATGGCACAACGTGGGCCTCTTGTGCGTTTTAGCTCTGAGGAGAAGATGGAAACCAGATTAAAAAGGAACAGGCTGTTCCAGCTTTTTCCACTCAATACCTGGGCGTCAGGGAGGGCAGGGTGATGACTAAACAGCGTGGGCCAGAGGATTTTTCGAGCTCTAATTGCCAGGTGCTGCTTTGCTGTCAGACGTGCTCCATCTCCCGTCCTATTTATTTCATTTCTCTTGGTTTTTGAATCGCTCCGTAGCTGGAGGATGCAGGTGGCGTGGTCAGATGTGGGATGGRAGGGGACCAGCAGCTCTTCAGGAGCAAAGCCACCCTATTTGCCCTTGGCTGGTCAGGTCTGGTGTGGGAGGCGGGTGGGGGATGGAGGATGCTTGTCCAGATGTGGCCACCAAAGTGGCTTGTGTTGATGTGCCCCAGAGGTGTCTTCTCATGTCCTTTCCTCTTCCATCCTGCACCCCATGTGGTGGCACAGGGGGTCACGATTAGTTCATTAAGGGTTTTTCTCATTTTGGGGGGAATTCTGCCTTATTTTGGAGTTGTGTGTGCGTGTGTGTAGGGTTTATGGGGGATTTTCGGGGAACGGTCGTTTTTCTCTTGATCGAATTCTGCATCCTATAAATGCGTGTCCTCCTCCTCCTCCAGGTCCTCCTTCATGAGGGTGTCCAGAGGAACGATCCAGCTGTCCCCCAGCTCACCGTTGAGGTTCACCTTCTTCTCCTGCATTTCAGAGGAGGTCTCCATCACTTCCAGTGTGGGGTTGTCGTGGTAGCCATTCTCCATGGTCTGCATCTCCTCGGTCAGGCGCTGCTATGAGGAAAGAAAATCATAAATCCCACTRGAAAACACCCTGGCCATGCTCTGAGTGTCACCTCAGGATGTGACAGCTGCCCTGTGTAGATTTATATAACTACATATAGAGACTTCTGTGGTGAGGTTGAGGTGGGGGGCAGCGAGGGGATAGCACGGAGCTGGCAAGAGGATGACTCTGCTAATGATGGGAAGGAAGAAAGAGCAGCCAGAGACACGTGGAAAACATCCAGGAGCAGCTGCCAGCTTCAGTTTGTTCCACCCAGGAGCTTGGGAAGAGGTTGAGCATCACAGCATCCCAACTCCTGCCTGCCTACCTCAAATCTGCTCTTCCCCTCCCCTTTCTCCTCACCCCTGTCTTTTTTAGTTGCTTTATTATTCTCCTTCTCTTTTACTCAGGGGCAGCTCCCACCTGCCAGCACTTGAGTGTCATCCCTCCTTATTCTGGAACTCTCAATGGAAACCAGGCAGGGAAGGATGGAATCAGTCACTTTGTCACCCTGCTCCTTTGATGTGATGTGCTTCAGGCTCCGACTCATCCCTTCATTCCCTGGCAGAACCCTGGACCATTGTGGTTTTGCATCCACCKGGGCTCCTTCATCCCCATCTTTCCSTACAGGGATTCAGTGGGGATCTCCAGTCCTTGCTCAGCCCTTTTTGGGAAGCACAGAACTCTCAGTGGGTCCTTCATCCCATCCTTCCCTACAAGGATTCAGTGGGGGAACTCCAGTCCTTGCTTTTTGGGGAGCCCTGTTAAAATCTGCCTGGATTTACAGCTTGCTCTATTAGAGTGCTCCTAGTAAATGTCAGGAGACAGGCGTGGGAGGGAATCCATGGAGAARGAAAGGGATGGAGAAGCAAAACTGCAGGGCTTGGTGCTGGCAGAGGCTGCAAAGGCGCTGCTGGGGGTCCCCTGTGTCACTTGGGGCAGAGATTTTGGGACGCTCGAAAGCAGAGAACACACCTGGACTCTCCCAARGGCTGCCTCCCTATGGGATTGCTGGTCTCCCACCATGGCAAGGCACCCTCCAGCCATGCAGCGAGGGGAAAGGGGCTTTAAAGCTGGGCTTTAGTCCTGTTAAAAGCTACGGGGCCCTACCAAGCGCCGGAGGTGAGAGCCGGGGGTGTTACGGATGCGGCGCCCGCCCCTCCGATCCCTGTGTTGGAACTCACATTAAAGATCAGGGCCACATGTCCATCATCAAACCCGGGGACATCAGGGTGGATGTTCTGGGTATTTCCAAGGTAAAACAACGGGGAGGGAGGTGGGGGGTGGGGAGGGTTGGAGAAAAAAAAAATAAAATAGAAAAAAAAAAAACTTTCAAGTCATTTTTGGAAATGAAGCAGAAGGAGAACAAAAGAAACCACCCGAAAACAAAGCCAGGAAGGAGAGATGTGTTTGATTTTCAGAACTGACATCCCTTGCTTTGGTTTTGCTACTTTGCCCTGTGCCTGGTGGGAATTTACCTCTGGAACATCCAACTGGGACTGCTATCTGTTCCTCTGCACCAGGTTATTTTAGGGACATTGCTAAAAATATCTTATTTCTACCTTTTTTCTGGACAACATGGTGCATGTGCATGTTATGCTGTTATCTGTCCCTGCTGGGATGTTTTTCACCCCAGCCAGGGAGATTTCATCCAGGGGATGATCCCATAAGCTCCAGGGGGACCAAAGTGCAGGTCAAATATTTATTGAGGTCTTGAATCTTCCCCTATTTCTTCCCAAAAAAATCAAACCTGGTAAGTACAAACAAGTCTGACATTGGCATTGGTTTGCTCTTCCCTCCCTCCTGTGTTCACCTACCTTGTATTGTAAATATTTAAAGCTTTATCCCTCCTTTTCCTGTGGGGCAGAGGTTGGGATCGCTGAGGAAGGATGAGCTGGTCCAGGGGAAAATGATTTGAAGTAAGGTTGAAGTATGTTTGCTTCTCCATCAGGAGGGTGTTTTACCCTGATTGCATAATCTGATTTCATAATTATTTTCCCTTTCTGTTTCTGTCTGTCCCAGAGCTAAATCCTCAGGAAGAGCAGCAGGGACCAGTGCAAACGTCAGTGCCCCAGGGCGTGGGAATGGCCAGTCCTTGCAGGTGKATCCTACACTAAAATCACCCAGGATTGCTTCCTGAGATAAAAATCACATTATTTTCACTTTCTGTCTTGGTTCTTGCTTAACTCCTGCACCTCCTGCTCTGAAATTTGACCCTGGCCCAGCTCTTGCAAAGGCTGAGCCCTGCAGTGTSGATGCCACTCGTTTCTTGCACACAGCCTTGGGCTCCCTGGCACCCCTGGAGGTGATTCTGGGCACCCAAYCCAGCTCCACTACTCATAAAAGTATTTCAAGAATTTTTTTGAGGGRTGTAGCTGTTTTTTTGGGATGGGGYTTTASACTGAGAAAACCTTTCTTGCCAAAATTACAACCCAGGGTGATGCCCACTGGGCAAGTCAGGATGTCTCCAGCAGCAGAGACAGCAACACTGATGATCCTCATCTCCTGAAGATGCTTCTGGGATAAAAAAGGTCTCAGGACACCTGTCCCAGCCCTCTGCCACCTTACCTGATCCTTCTTGTGGGAGAAGCGCTGGTAGCAGCCGTARATGGCGGCGATGAGCAGCAGGGACACGGCCAGGGTGATGATGGTGATGATGAGGGGCGTGCTGAACTCGTCRGTGATGGTCATGTCCTCCACCATCTTGCCAGAGGTGATGTTGACGATGCCGAGCTGCCACAGAAGGGACAGGTCAGGCTCCTGTGCCACCCACCTTTGGGGACATCCCTGTGACCAGGGACCCGCTTACCTTCTCTAACTTGTCCTCCTTGAGCTCCTTGAGGACTTCTTCAGAGTCCAGGGGAACTGGGGGAAGAAAGAGGCTTCAGTGAGCACAGGGTGGGGTGAGKGGGGCAGGTTGTGCCCCCATTCYCTGGTCAGTGRGGTGACCCTTTCTCTGGAGGAGGAGGATGAAGATGTGTGGGGTTGAAGCCAACCCTTTTAGGTGCTTTGCAGCCAGACAAGGAGCCAGGATCTCTTTAGGATGGGGAACAGCCCCAGAGCCCCCAGGCCCCACCATCCATCTCCAGTGGGTGATTTACCGTGACCCAGTGAGGGGCTGTGACTGGCTCCTCAAGGATTAGTCCCCAGGGCCTGGGTGCCTTTACTGAGGTCAGGTGTGGAGTCTGGACCACCCACCCAACCCCAGCTCTGATGATGAGTAAGAGCAGGGTGGAGCTCAGGCCTTCCTCCCCCTCACACTGGGGCAGCAGGATGTCTCCATCTCCCCAGCACCCTGGTCCTAAAGCAATGTTTGGGCACCYCCAGGCTGAGCTGGGTTTCTCAACAGGGCTCTGACATGGGCAAGAAGCTCCTCTCTGTGGTCTTTGGGGAAGGATTTGAGCTGGGCACTCAGTTTAAACTACCTGGGAGGAATCTTCCCTCCTGAAGATTGGTCCCTGCCTTGATTCAACACAGCAGAGGGATCTGTGCATTCCTTGGGGCACACAGCTCATTTCTGGGATTGTTGCTCCTCTCCCAAACCATTGGGATGGGGCAGCTGCAGGAATGGAACCCCTTGGCCAAGCTCTGGTGGACCTGARGGCTCTGYCAGGCCTCCAGCCCCAGGRTCCCCARTGCCATCCTRTCCCACTCCAGCAGGASRGTATGATKCCTGATGATTTKTGCCTTTACTTTTTATATACCTTTYATATAYTTYATATAYYCTTTTAGWCATTTCTGTACCCTTYATGTATCCCTTGCACCCTCAGCCTACATGCCTATAAATCTTGTAGCCTGATATTCCAGCTTAATTTCAGGGTTCTGCTGGGCAGAGAGACCAACCAGCCTCAGTGTTGTGTGTCAGTGTGCCCTGTGCTATCTTAACCCTAAAGGATGGAGCCTTCTCTCTGGAGCACATTGTGTAAACTGGGCTCTGGCCTCATTCCAGGGTTGTTTTTTGTTTTGTTTTTTTTTTTAGAACAGGGGGACATTACTGCATTTATTGTGTTTCTTATTGGAGAATTCTAGATAGATGTGCTAATTAGTGAAATCTATAAAATTTGTATCCGTGCTATACGCAGTGTGCATTTTCTGGCGTTTCATGCGTTTTCCGTCGAGTTGTGCACCTGGGATCCTGAACACCGAGGTAAAACCCTTTTATCCCATTAACCGTGTCTGTGCCATAATTAAAACTGGCCAATGAAGGCAGCACTGGGGGGATACTCACGGTGCAGGACCACATGCACAGCCCAGTCGTGRGAGCGGGGTTTGCAGGCCATCAGCTTCACCGTGCAGCCGTCCCTGCCGGCGTCGAACGCGCGCTGCGCCGTCGAGCAGAAGCTCTCAAAGAAGGAGATGTCACTGCTGTCAGCCCTCCACTGATCCTGCAGTGACAGCAAAAGGTCAGCACTGCTCCCCCAGCAGGGACTGCCCAGGAACATCCCGCCCCAAAGGGCTGCAGGATGTCCCATCCTTACAGAATGACCCTTTWAAGACTGGACATGGCACTCAGTGCCGTGGTGAGGTTGACAAGGYGGTGTTGGGTCATGGGTTGGGCTCGATGATCTCGGAAGTCTTTTCCAACCAAATGGATTCTGAGATCTTCCCTCGTCCCTTCGCACTGCCTGGCTGCTGCCGGCCCTCCCAGGGAACAGGAAAAGTTTAAAAGTAGTTTCTTTACAAGAAGCCGAGCTCTTGGCTGCCGTTCCTCACCGGGGCCCTGCACCAGTCTTATCTGTTAGCCGCAGCTTTCGGTGTTCCAGGAATAGCAGGTCCCTGAGGGAAGCGGGGCGGGGGTGCTGGTGAGGCCAGGGGGGCCACAGCGGGAGCAGGGCAGGGCTGTGCAGCCCCACAATTCCCCCATAGGCATCTCCAGCTTTTCTGCCCTCTGTCCCCACCAACACAGGTCCCTGTCCTGCCTGGAGCTTCCCCACAGCTCTGCAGGGAAGAGCAGGAGAYGGTGTTTTGTTTTTGGATGGAAGAGAATGAATCACAGAGTGGTTTGGGTTTGGGTTTGTGTTAGAAGGGACATGAAACACCACCCAGTCCCACCCCTGTCCAGGAGCAGGGACACTTTCCACCATCCCAGGTTGCTCCAATCCTGAACCAACCTGGCCTTGAACATTTCCAGGGATGGGGAAGCCACAGCTTCTCTAGACAAACTGAAAGCATCTCTGGAGAGATGTAGAGGGGTGGATGGAGCTCCCTCTGAGGTGCTCCTGAGTTTTTTTCTCGATGCTTCATAGCAGCTGGGAGCCCTATAAGGTACAGGGAATCACCCTCCTGCATGAACAGATCCTGATGTGTGGATGTAGCACCTGGGGATATGTCTTAGTGGCAGATTTGGAGCAGATTTGGTTGGACCTGACGATCTTAGAGGATTTTTCCAACCTCAGTGATTCCATTTTTCTGTGCACAGACCTGGCCCTCACAGGTCCTGTATGAGAGGTGCCATATATACAGCTCCTGTGTRCAGAAATCCTGCGTGTGCAGGTGATGCTGTGTGTAAAACTCCTCAATCCYTGCTGAAATGAGGTGCCTGGCTGGGAMAGGCTCTGCTCCTGCCTGCTCCATCACCCCAAACCTTCCCCTCCCATCCCAACACCTCCGGCAGCATCCCTCTTACTGCCCCGCGGGGATGGGATCTGCCCGGCCCAGGGACGCACCTAATCTCACCCCATCTTATCTAAATATTTGGGAAGCAGCAGTGGAGACAGGATGCGCTTTCCTGGGCGGAAAGCCGGTCCCGGGTACGGTGCGAGGGTGAGCTGACCCCCGCCTGTCCTTTCGCTTTGCACCGGGAGAAAATTCCRCTGTGGGGTTGTGCCATCCCCGGGAAAAGATCCGGGTGGGGAATCTGCCCCGTGCCGAGGGCAGCATTCCCTGGAAAGCCGGTTCCCAGCAGGATGAGGAGGAAGGGGCTGTCGCTCGGTGGTGGCGGTGCTTTTATCGCGTCTGGACGCTGGGTTGTGCTCCTACGCTTGCAATGTCCTGTGATTCACCGATCCCTGCCTGTGCRGCGCTTTCTGCTTGGCAGAGGAAAGGCTCTGCTGCCTCGCTGCATCCTCCTTCCCCAGGTTTTGCCGCAGCCCTGCTTTCCCCCAGYCCTTAATAACCCCCTTAATAATCCCCTTCTCCCCCTACCACCCCATGGGGGGAAAAAAAAAACCCTTTTTTTGGGTGGGGAGGGAAACGGGATGCGAGGCTAAAACCCGACCACTTCACTGGCAGCTGGTGAGCAATGCCTAAAGCCGTTCGGAGGGTGAAGTGGAGGGATTGGCAGGGTTGGAGAGGGGCAGGGGGAAGCTCTGGGCCGGCAGGGATRCCCCTGGCAGCTCCCCCTCGCCGCCGGAGCCGCTCGCATTCCTTGGCCAGAGTTGAGAGGCGCTGCCGAGCGGCTCGGATCCGGTTCCCACACTGGCGGGGACCTAAAACCAACATCCCCGAATGAGGTAACAGCACTTGAGTCAACAAACCACCCCCGCCAGCTGCACGGGCTGAGGGGGAACACGACCCTGCTCGGTGAGGGAGTCCCTTTGCCTGCCCCGGGGGCTGTCCCGTGTCCCCACACCAGGGGTGTCACACAGCAATTCATGGGGGTTTGAGAGCTCCTGCTGTGGCTTTTGCATCTCCCACTGCAGCGGGTTCTGGTGCTCCCCAATGTCCAAGCACTCAGCTCCGTGGCACATCTGTGTCCTGGTGGGGGACATGAGGGGGGATGAACCACTAGGGGATGGACAGAGGGTTGTGTGGCCAAACCACAGCTCAGGCTACACCTCTGTCATCATCACTTCTTGCTTCACCTAACT